AGCTGAATTAAAATTATGGACTCTAAAGGAAGTTGGAGTTGGTTTGAATATTTTTAAGTACTAAATTTCCCTGCCTGACTAAAGTATTATAAAGAATCAATCAAATGTGTAATACTGTTTCAAAGTAAAAATTCAAATTTCTCTCCAAAGTAATTTCTAAAAATTCTCCAGAGCAGGAAGTTTTTTTTCATAGATATTTGATTATGTGGTTTGCCATATATCTGGGTGACTCCTGCTGCTCATTAATACTCATGTTATGTATATATATGGACAGTATGGCCTAGTCATCTCATGTTCTTCATTAGCTATATATACAGTCTGGTGCTCTTATTTATTATGTTACTGCCTGATATTTTAATATTGGCAAATATTTTTTATAACCTTTGACATTACTTTTTATAGCCTTCTTGTTTTTATAGAGCAATGAAAGTTCAGGCTTTAAAAGAAGTAGTTTCCTTTCTCATATGGTGAAACATATTTCTTCTTTATTATACTTTGGTATTTCATCTTTATCCATAATTCTCTATTACTACTTATTTTAAATGTTTTTCCCATCATTTTGAAAAACTTAAATGTCCATTCTCCATTTGAAAATATGACAAAGATACCGCTCCCTGTAAGTATACAGAAACAATTATTGTAAAAGTACCAGCAGAGTTTAAATATATTACCCTGACAACTTCAAATATATATACATAATTTATATGTAATATACATATACTATATAACAAGCACATGTTGATATAATACATATTATATAAAATGCACATGTTTTTTAAATTGTTGAAGTTAAGCTATATTAAAACAATAGTTCAGTTCTTGTAAAAATAATATTTTTCAAGAATATTATGGGTTTACCCATCAGGAATTCTCATTTGCAACTTCATAATTAACTATTTTAAGACTGTTTTAAAGATTTATTTTAATTTTATTTATTTATCATAGAAGAACTGGGGTGTAGGCCAGAGGTGCCAAAGGTGAGAAGATTCACCAGAGACAGAGTAGAGAGCAAAACGGGTGGATCTACTGAAATACACTGCTGAGGGGAGCAGTGGGTGAGACAGGAGAGGTCTGCTGCACCATATGTGGATCAGCTCCCTGGCTGGACATAGAACTCAGGACACAGTGACAATAGCATGATAGCGCTGAGACTTAACCCCTGCGCCATGAGGTAAGCCCCGTTTTAAGACCTTTTTGAAATAAATAATGCAAATGGGTTATAATAAGATGTTCTCCATTTCTGAAGCAGGATTTATTGATGGTTTTAGTAGTGCTGGCAGTTAAAGAACATAAAATCTAGATACTAAACACAAAGAGAAAAATTTTTATTGTGAATTTGTCAGACACAGTATTTTTATTATATATATATAGATAAATAGATGACACATTGTGATATCTTCTTTGCCTTCAAAAGTAGCCTTATATGACAGATCAATTTTATATTAGCAGAGAATAGAATTGTTATTAATTCCTTTTCCTTTGACAGCTAAGAAAAAATGAGAAGTCATATAAGAAATGGTCTCCCAATAATCCTATTTCCCCCAAGAAGATACCATATTCCTTCCACCTGTGGAACTGAATCATAAAAGGGGTAAAACTTCACGTCCTATGTGATTTTCAAATGTGTTAAATATCCTTCATGCAACGTGGACCAGTACCTTGTTTTCTTAGGTTGCAAAGACTCAAACAGCCACCCATCACCATCATGTTGCTTATCCTCTGAGACCCTCATGTAAGATGGCAGTATAGGGCAAGGAGCATCAACACCAGAGAATAGTTTCAGAGTTCTTTTGAAACTATATTGCCTCATCTGTCAGCATTAAGCTGAAAGGACCAGGGTTACCATATGTTACAGCCCATAAGAGATAGTTGTTCACAAATGTTGGCGAGGGTGTGGAGAAAAAGGAACTCTTCTGCACTGTTTGTGGGAGTGCAAACTGGTCCAACCACTATGGAGAGCTGTGTGGAGATTTCTGGACCTACTAAACATAGAGCTTCCATATGATCCAGCAATTCCACTCCTAGGTATTTACCCAAAGGACACAGAAACATCAATTCCAAAGAACACCTGCACCCCTATGTTTATAGCAGCACTATTTACAATAGCTAAGCTTTGGAAACAGCCCAAATGCCCCAAAATAGATGACTGGATCAAGAAGATGTGGTACATATACACCATGGAATATTACTCAGCATTCAGAAAAGATAAACACATGCAATTTGCAGCAACATGGATGGCACTGGAAGGGATTATGCTCAGCGAAATAAGCCAGAAAGAAAAAGAAAAATACCGGATGGTCTCACTCATAGCAGGAATCTAGAAAACTTAAATAAGGGACCAGGAAAATGAATAACTATAAGAAAGCGAAAATCAAAATCAACAAAAAACTATGAACCAGAAACAATTTTTGGGGGGTGGGGGGCGGGAGGGGAGGGATTGGGGTCAGAATGGGGGGGGTTGCAATTGTATGGGGAATATAAAAATAAAATTTATTATTTAAAAAAAAAAAGAGATAGTTGTTCAGCCATGTCATCTGACCACAGCACACCCACCCCACTCAAATTCCACAGGAATTCATCACCTCTGCTGGAATAATCCAAAATACAGGTTCTACTTATGTTAGTTTAGCTATGTGGTCTTATTTCATAATGAATAATATAATACTGTGCTTTGAAGTTAAGTAGAAAATTGTAAGGGTGATCAGTAAAGAAAAGAAAATAGGTTGTTCAGGTGGAGTGATTTAGAGGATGTGAATAAACTGAAAATTGTCCTCTTGCATCAATCCTCTACTAAAATTTATCAACAAAGACCTGATTTCCCTGGCTTTTTTCAGAAAACCTGAATTGTCAAACATGAAATCTGTAGGTTCTACAGAATAAGTGTGACACCATTTTTATAAGGTCAATTTTCAAAGTATTGGTTTGAGAACGTAAAAGCAGAACTTCATTCCTGAACTCAAAACTGAGTCTTGCAAATACTAAATAAGAGTACTATGGAAATATAAAACCAGGAAGAATTAAAGAAATTTCCATTAGAATGTGTGGGATTTGTTACACATAAATAAGCAATAATCTAAGAAGGGCTAACCCATGTTTTTTCACAAAAGAAGAAAGAAATAAACAAAGGATTGAATAGTACAATGAAGACTGTATTACATTCAGACAATAAAGAATTGTCTTTATTTGCAGGGTCAAAAAATATCTTTATCTCTGGTGACAGAAAATTCAGGGTAATATAGATGGAAGCATGAAATGAAAAATTATGCAACTATCTAAGAATATAAATATAGACTCTCCTTTTTCATAAATATTCAGTACATTATTTGACACATTGGTTTGGGTGAAGCTCCGCAAGCACAATTTTAAGCATCTTGATTTGGGCTGGGGTCCAGCAAATTATATATTCCTAACAACTATCAGTGCTTTCTCACTAAAAATACAGGCTCACACTCTACTTTGAAAATATTCTATGATAATTATTTCCATTTTCATAGTAACTAGTACAGTTATAACTAAAGTTGTCTCAGGTTTCCAAGGAAAGAAAATTATTCTGAGATACTGTTAATAAGAGAAAGTGTGGTAATAGAGAATGGTATTTTCTTAAAATTGTGCTAAAGCTGTCATTTTCATTTTTAATGACTTTAACTGTGCTAGACAAGATTTTATTTTCAGTCACAGAAATAAAACTATCCAATATAGTTCTTTAGTCTATTGCCCATTAATCTTCTAGCCCCCTCCTTGCATCAACCTCACAATGGATTTAATTCATCTTGAGAGCATAAAGCCAACATTTAGTAAACAGAATTTTCCTGACAATAGCTCAGCCCCACTAGTGAGAAAATTCAGTGAATGGTAACACATAGGAAGGAGGCCTATACAGAATTTTCACTCTGTAGATGCCAAAGAAAATTAACTATATATTTTTTTAAAGATTTATTTTTATTTTTTTTTTTTTAAGATTTTTTTTTTTAATTAATTTATTTATTTATACAAGCACTGGGTACAGTCAGAAGCGCGGAGGGTGAGAGAATTCACCAGAGCCAGAGCGGGGAGCAGAGCAGGCAGAGGGGCCGAGGTACACTGCTGAGGGGAGCAGCGGGCGGCAGGAGAGGTCTGCGCGCCATGTGGGACCCTCCTCCGGTGGCCGGGGAGCAGCCGGGGATTGAACCGGCGCCGCAGAGGCTGCAGGCAGCTTCGCAACCCAGCGCTCAACTGCTGCGCCACCGGGGAGGCCCTATTTTTATTTTTATTTATAAAAATAAAAGCACTGGGTACAGTCAGAAGTGAGGGAAGGTGAGAGAATTCACCAGAGCCAGAGCTGGGAGCAGAGCAGGCAGAAGGACCGAAACACACTGCTGAGAGGAGCAGTGGGCCGCAGGAGAGGTCTGCGCGCCATGTTGGGCCCTCCTCCTGTGGCTGGGGAGCAGCCAGGGATCGAACCGGCGCTGCAGAGGCTGCAGGCAGCTTCACAAGCCAGCCCTCAATCGCTGCGCCACCGGGGAGGCCCTAACTACATTTTTTTTAAGATAATGGGAAAAACAAAATATTTTGGAAAATTTATTGCCAACATCTATAAAACGATGTTTAAAAGTAAGAGAGGTTTAATAACAGATTTTCTATCACCCTCAATTTATAGGAAAAAGGATACCAAAGGAAAAATAGGAATCATTTCAAATAGTCCTTTCTTTCATTTGATGACTACATTTCTTAACTTCACTATTTTTAAAGCCAAATCATGCCAGATTCCCCAATGGTGCTGGCTATACAGTGCTTAACTCATAATATTTTATTAGTGAAATTTTAAAAAGCAAATGTCCATGAGATTCAAGGTTATCAAAATGAATTTTATCTAAGGTTATTTTCATTTTTTCCTACAGTGAAACAGAGTGAGTGTTCACTTCTAAAGGTGATGACTCAAATAAGGCATATAAAGTTGCATCTCAGGAAAACAGAATTAGCTTTACTTTAGTGGGCATGAAGACTGCTCAGTTCCAGTTAGTTTATAAATTCATCATAGACTCAAATTCATCAATTCTTTGCTTAGTATTCCCCTTCCTGATTTTCCGATAAGATATTGTATTATATCTTGAATAAGCATTTCTGGAAATATCACTCCTCTTCACTAAGGTTGGCTGCTCATCAGGTGTCACAGGTTGGGAACTGGGGCTGCTGAGGGGGGAATCTTCACTTACATCGCCTTCCTCTTTTAATTGAGAATACTCTTTTTTTTCCTTAATTTCTATCACTCGAACTTCATCTTCGTCTTCATTGCAATCATCATCATCATCATTAATTTCTTCATCCCAAACCTCTTGCTCCTCATTGTGTTTAGAATGCAGCACCTCCCCTTGGCTAGGTTTCCTAAATCCCAACCATTCTATTTCAGTTGCGTGGTGAGCTTTGCTCTTCTCACCTTCATCTTCTCTGTCTTCCAGAGGCTGTTCAATAATTGTTTCTTGTTGTCTACTTATTTCCTGGTTGCTGCTGCTCGGAGGAATTTTCTCCCACTGATGCCCTGTAGCAAAATCAATTGGTAATTGAGATGTGCGCAGGTGTCAAAATACCCAATTGTTTTTCTCCAAATAATTTTTCTGGAGAATCATTTCCCAACACGTGTTTTATGGAATATTAGTCTGTGGATTACTAACATATTTTACACGACACAAAATGGGCTACATGATCAAAGGAGTTTAGGAAACACTGCACTAAACACAGTTAAGTAGGGCCTCCCTGGTAGTGCAAGGGGTTAAGACGCAATCTAAGAAGCTACCCACAGCCTCTGCAGCACGAGTTCAATCCCTGTCCAGGGAGCTACCCACATGGTGCAGCAGAACTCTCCTGACTCACCCACTGCTCCCCTCAGCAGTGTATTTCAGTCAATCTACCTGTTCTGTTTCCCGCTCTGTCTCTGGTGAATCCTCACCCCCAAACCTCTGGCCTGTACCCCAGTTCTTGTATGCATAAATAAATAAATCTTTAAAAAAACACACACAGTTAAGTTTAACGTCTTCAGAATTTATCCAAACCTTTAAAATGCTAATGAGTGTTGTAAATTTCCAAGAAAATAGGCATAGCCAATTTTGTTTAACTATGAAACTTTTCTGTTGTAGACTATATCTAATGATACTGGTATTCCATAAAAGACACTCTAATTTTTTTTTCAGTATGCAGAGTATTGTTAAACTTTATTTTTTACACTCTTTTTTTAATATTTTTTTTTATTTTTTACATCATTGTTCATTTTTTAAACAATATTTGCTTCTCCCCACCCCCACAGGTGTAGGCCCCACAGAATTTCTTTCACTAATGCACCTGTGCACGATCACCTCAGTCCCCTATAAAACACACTCTTTAAAAAATCCTGGCTTGTCATGACTGCTTATATGAAAAAAAAAATATATATATGTATATATAATTTTGGATCTATATCTTACTATAGACACACACACACACACATACACACAAACACACTCCTTAAGGAAAACTAGAAGAATAAAACAGAGGGAATAAATGGCTTTCTTCTAATAATAGAAATAATGACAACCATCCACCTCTGGTCATGCTCAGAGTAGCGTTTTCAATAATTGCCACCATTTTCCTGAGAGTCATCAGAGAACCCAATGTAAAAGGAGGAGCAGGGAGCTATGGGTGTTCAGGAGGCCTGTAGTGGGCTGACTGAGGCACAAAATCCAATAAAGCACACACAGCGTTGTCTAAGATATGCCCATCATGAGAGTTAAGGTTTTAAAATCTTTTTTAGGTCATACTATAAAATGATAGATTAACCTATCATCTTAGATAAATTCCAAATGACAATCAATTAACTCACCTTGTTTAGTACCAAATAGTGATTTTTCAAAGATTTAAGTCATCACAAATTTCACTATCAGGTCATAATGGCATATTCTCAACAATATTTATTGAGCCTGCTAAAAAGATAATAAGGCTGTTCTCTGAGCTTCTGCTGCTGAAGGACTTCTATGGGAAGCTTCAGGCTGTAGTGTACATCACTTAGAATTATTGTCAGTGTTTTGTGCCTTATCATACCTAGTTTTACTGTCCCCTTCCTAAAGTCTTTAAATGAGTTAATAGGCTAAATGTTGCTCTTAGTCCTTCCCATCCATAATTTTATATTCTCTTGAAATGTTTGCAAGTCCATTCTGTTCAAAATTTTTTACTCTTCATTTTTTTAATGCTTCTATCTCTAAGAATTAGAATATAAATTTACAGAGAGAGAAGATGGATTATCACTCCTAATTATATACAGCTTTTATCAGGTTCTTATTGCCCTGTGAATGTTCTTTACATTTAAAAAAGATATGCATTAGAATATTTGATATACTTTTAAGCTTGGATTTGCTTCTTTTTTTCCAAAAGAACCAAGAAACTGATCATTTTGCTCATGCTTCCCAAAAAAGAGCAGGATAAAATTAATTAATCATTTATTTCCTCTCTTACAGTTATCAACATCTAACTCAAACTTGAAGTCAGCTTGTTAGACCTAAGCAGTTTATCTTAGGTAATACCTTAACAGGCAAAATATTGAAGAGACTTAGAGCAATATTAGAACATCGCATAAAACAGATGCCAAGGAACATATTGGTGTGAATGCAATGTCCTAGTTTTGGGGTATGGAGTTGTCATGCATGAAATTACTCCTTGAATTTAAATTATAGTTTTTCCACAAACTTTTTAGAACCTTCTTATTTTTCAACAGGGAGTATTCTCCTTCAAGACTTTATACCTGTTTGTCAATGTGAGAAAAATAAAAGACACCAAAATGTGAACTTCTGTCCTACAGGAAAAATACATGCTCCACCAAACACAGAGATTCATTCAAGAAAAAAGTCACCCTGTGACCATCTACTTTATTTTTTTTAAGATTTATTTATTTATTTATACAAGCACTGGGTACAGTCAGAAGCGCGGGAGGGTGAGAGAACTCACCAGAGCCAGAGCAGGGAGCAGAGTAGGCAGAAGGACCGAAGTACACTGCTGAGGGGAGCAGCAAGCGGCAGGAGAGGTCTGCGCGCCATGTGGGACCCTCCTCCGGTGGCCGAGGAGCAGCCAGGGATCGAACTGGCCCTGCAGAGGCTGCAGGCAGCTTCGCAACCCAGCGCTCAACCGCAGCGCCACCGGGGAGGCCCAGTGACCATCTACTTTAAAAATCTATTTTCTCTCATTCTCTATTTGATGAAAATGAAAGAGCCTAGAAAATGTTTTCTCCAATGGACTTCCTAGCCAGAAACTTGAAAGGAGTTTTAGATAAATGATTATTCCTGCCTCTGAGAGTTTGCTACATTACAAATAGAAGATCAGAGCAGAGTTCATTTCACGGAGTCTTAAGTCTTATCTCTGATTAATGTAAGAACTTGACAATGGCTATTGTTATACTTTCTCAAGTGTCTAGCTGTGGATCCACTACATGGGGTCAGCACACAACCTGAGAAGCATCCAGGCAAAGGGGACAAACCTGGGACATTGCAATCACACCAATATGTTCCTTGGCATCTGCTTTATGTCATGTTCTAATATTGCTCCAAGTCTCTCAATATTTGGCCTGGTAAGGTATTACCTAAGATAAACTGCTTCGGTCTAACAAGCTGATTTCAAGTTTGAGCTAAGATGTTGATAATTGCAAGAGAGGAAATAAATGATTAATTTTATCCTGTACTTTTTTTGGGAAAATGCTTGAAAGTAGGCATGTCTATGAGAAGCATAAGAGATTTTGGACTCTTAGTTTCTTGAATTTTTTCAAAACCTAATACAGTCATTTAAAAAAAAAAAAATCAATGTTCTTTTTATTCTCCCATTTTCTGAAAGCATACAATTAAAATTAACTTCATCACTTGGGAACTTTCTTTGACAAGATTTAGATTTTTATGCTTACATCAGAGACCTAGAATTTTCCTAGAGATTATGTAAGACTATTTTAAGCTATATGTCAATGGTAAACTTTCAGGGTAAACCCAATTTTTAAACATTTACATTTTGCAAGGTGTCTGACAGAGATTTGGAGACACTAAGCCAAAAAGAAAGGTTAATTTAGTGGACTAACATATTGAGAAACAGATACATCATCAGGTCAAAGTGTGCCAATCACTTATACCAGTCCTCTCAGTCTCAGTTTTATGGTGTCTGGAATACTTTCTAAGGTGGAACTCACAGATAAATCAAGACTCTCTTATCTGCCTATATCAGCTTTAAGGTATTGCCTTAAAGGTATTGAAGGTATTGCCTGGATTGACTTTTCACAATCACCAAACATCCCGTGTAAAAACTTGTCATTCATATCCAGTCAAACAATTTCTGTGTATAAAATGGTAGGTGCTCTTACCTTCTCTGAACGTCATTTCATCAACACTTTTTTCTTGAAGAGAAAGATCTGTAATGGCCTTATGAACAATATAGAGATTCTCTTCTGGATTTTCTGGAAGAAAAATGAACAAGATTAATATTTTAATATTTAAATAGCTCAAGGGTAAATAAACTGTAAGTTTAGATTATAAGTAAAGATTTCTTTGATTTTTAATTGTCATCACTAAAAATAACTATTTTACTCTTCCAACTCATCTTGACTTGTTCCTTTTACTTATAAACCTATTGATTAATATCTATTTAAGTTCTGGAACCATGGATTCAGAGAGTTTCAGGTATATTTAGAAAACAAGTATGATATTCTTAATTCCCTTTGCTCAAATAATAATGGGGATGTACTTAATAATAACAAACAACAACAGTTAGAATGTAACCAGCTCTTGGTAATCTTCTCAACACCCCTGCAAATTTTGGTATTATTATCTTACATTTTTTAAAATAAGAAAATAAGGCTTTAGGAGTCTAGGGACATCATCCAGAGTCACAGAGCACTCAAATAAATAAATTTGGACTTGGTGCTAGACACTGGTTTCATCTTTAAGCTAAGCAGTCTGGGTAGAAGAAGGGCCTCACTGGGGAGGGGCAGAGGTGAAGGGATGTGCAGCTCATAACTGTCATAACAAGTTGTCCAAAAATCCTGTGAGTTTAAAAATCGAATCAAGCAGATAGAAGAGAAATGAAGAGATTTACCTTTTAGAATCTTCTCATCTGTGGAATAGTTGAGTAACATAGTCCCTTGCAATGTTTCACTTTGCTCCTGATTTCCTTCTGAGGGTAAATCTTCAAGACTAGGTTCCACTCTATAGTAGGGTGAGGTGCCATCCACATCGCTAATTTCCTCATTGATTTTAGTGATTGCTTGTTGACCATTTTCAGGTGGTGTATCCCCATTACACTCAATCTGATGGAAAGTCACTGGAACATCTGTCATGGTGCAGAGCTGAGTAGTACTTGGAGAGAGCTGTGAGGAAACTGAGGAAACAGATTCTTGCTCAGATATGTCCTCTTGCCTTCAAGTCCTATAGTTCTAGCTCCTACTTGAAGACTGCAAAGTGTTTACTTTAGTACATAATAACAAGCTTCTTTTCCTAAAGGTATTCACATAGAGTTTAGAATAAAAGCAATAGAATTTGTCAGTTGTGCCACCAGCCCATGAGCAAGAACTTGCCCAGTGGATACCTTCTTTGTAGCTTAGCAGTCTGGCTCTCAGAATTAATGGCAGTCCTTTGATTTACATAAACAAACGATCTGAGGCAATCAGGCTTTTGTGTTGGCTTGTAGAGGGGGACTTTCAGCTTGTCAGTCCCCCTCTGGGAACAGAGATTTTTGTCCCTTTTCATAATGGCTCTTTGTCATTTTCCTTGTAACAGGAGCCACAATTGTTCCACAGCTTTAATCCACAGAGAATGACCACCTTGAGGCATATTAGTTCTGCATAACCAGCTTAACATTTTCAAACAGATTTTGTTCAAGTAAAACCTCAGCTATTTTGTAGGGAACAATAGCATTGTTTCTTATTTATTAAAGAATAAAAACAGCTTAACAAAAACCTGTAAACAGGACAGCTTTACTGTAAGTGGTTCTGATTGCAGATTCCATGGAATGCATTCAGGATCCCCAGAAATGAACTAAGAAAACCCCCCAAATTTCTGCCATCTCAATAATACAAAAAATTCTTGTAATTTCAGAGTAATCATTTAATCTATAGCTTCTCATCCTCTAGTGCATGTTGATTGAAGACCAGATGATCCTTAAAAACCCTAATATAATTTCCTCCGTGAAGCTTTCCCTCCCCAATAGGAATTATTCTCTATATTCCCTGCTGATATTGAATGATGCTGTAAGATTATATAGCACCAACACAGCCTGCCCTTGGGGGAAACACAATCAGGTATTTATGTAAAACTTCTGCAAGCTACTACTCCTTTCTTTTTAAAAGAAGACGTTCATTCTTTCCTTATTTGGATCTCATATAGTGCAAAATGGATGTAGTCTTTGCCCATGTCACTCCCTCTGGTTGAAATGCCCATCTCTTCTTCAATGTCAGACCCCTAATCTAAAATTCCTCTTAAATTCTCAGCTCTTAGGATGAAGTACTATTTCTTTAATGACACATTCCCAGACCCTCAGGATTAGGACACATTATCTGTGACACATTAACTTTGTCCTTCAGAGGAATAGGACTTCTCTCAGTTGTGACTGAACAAGTAAGTGCATAATTGTCCATGTAATGTCTCTTTCACCAACTAGAAGCTAGGCTTTATCTGGATAGGGGCCATGTTTAACTTGCTTATAAGAGTCCCCAGCATGTAACATCTGCCTTGAATTAAGTAGGTACACAATTTAAAAATTATCTGTAAATCAAGGGTAAGTTAATAAAATTAGAATTGTGTCAAATTAACACATAAATTTTACTCCAGAGAAAACACATTTCGGATCTTTTCTGAAGGGAAGAATTAGAGAAGTTGAAGAGTAATTACTATTTTATCACCTTTAAAAATTATGGCTAGAGCTGAGTCTCTTGAGCACATATCAGAGAGGACAAGTACATGGCAACCTGGTCTCACTTCCTTCATGCTGTACTTGAGAGACTTTCTACTGGATCCCAAAGGACACTGAGCTATGCTCGCCACTGGTGACAAATCTTCTTTACCCAACACACTAATTATTTGTTTTTTTGTTTGTTTGTAAAAAGGGGGAAATTAATTTTCCCTCTACCCTTTTGAGTTTTTGTCTGAAACCCCTATAATGAAAGACAGATGAACCAGAGAAAAAGGAACAGGACTTTATTAACATGTATACCTCTCATGTATACATGGGTGACTCTCAGAGTGTAACCAGTGGCTGAAGCCAAAGACTGTTATAGGCAGAGGCCCCTGTAAGGGGTAAGGATAGATAGCCCCAGGGGAAATGCAAACAAAGTATTGGTGAGGGTGGAGACCCTGATAAGAAATATAATGGACTGCAGCTGCAGCCCCCACAATTCAGTGTTGGGAATTCAGTGTTTAGGATTCAGTATTCGGGACTTTAGCATTTTGGGATCTCCAGTGATTTCTGGGTCAGCCATTTCTGTCCCCACCAAGTCAATCTTCCAGAAGGCTGTTTTCAGGCCTCTAAAGGACATGGAGAAGCTTCCAGCCGCCAAACTCAGAGAAGAAAAGGTCAGAGGATTTGCGGATAGCCAGGCGACTGACACTGTTCACAGCTTTGCTGCTGTTACAGCCTGGAAGGGAAAACAAAGACCCAGAGCTGGATGCCTCACTGATCTGTGTGAGTATGGGCTGTTTGTCAGGTCATTTGGCTGCTGTAGCTGCTGTTTTGATTGTCTATTTTCTGCTGCTGTGCTGGCACATCTCGGCACCATTGGTGAGCATCTCCTGTTGTGTGTTCTGCTACCTTTGTGAGTTGAATCCTGGCCTATAGTCTGGCTGCCACATGCTCCAGGCTCTCAGTGGTGGGAAGATGCCATCTTGGGAACATGGCCTTTTGTTTAGGGTAGGAGCTCGATGTTCTCCTTGGAGGGAAGATGATCTTGGGAGCCTTTGTGTATAGGATTTTAGAACATTGGGCACTACTTTGGGTGAAGTAAATGGCCATTTGTGGCCCCAGTAAACCTTTGTTTTTCCTGGTTTGTTAAATAAACCCCATTCTCCTTGTTCTCTGAACCTGAGTAGTCTTGCAGTTGTGCTCGCAGGTGAAGAACTCAGACAGTGACTGGTAAACTATTTGGAAACTGTCCTTGGCCAGTTTTAGTGCCTCTTGCTGCTCGGTATCAAGAGAGACTGAGTAACTCCCTGATATGTCCAAAGTCACACCCTTCCATATCATTTTCAGCTAAAGACAAAAAGAAGAAAGGTATGAATTAGTGGTGGGAGATTAGTTATGAAGCTTTATCAGGAAAAGCACCATAGGTAAAGGTAATGCTTGTGATATAGATTTCAATGTGAGGCCCTCTCCATCAATAAGAGCTTCTGGTGATTTAGACATTCTTCTTTTCTTGGTACAGACACACACACACACATACACACACTTTCGTATTAACAACTTTCCTTTATACCTTATAGCACTGTTGTTATAGCCATCATATGGTACACTGCATTCCCAGTAATTACTATCATATAACTGGTAATTTGTATATTTTTTAAAAGATTTATTTATTTATGCATACAAAAACTGGGGAACAGGCCAGAGGTGTGAGGGGTGAGAGGATTCACCGGAGGCAGAGTAGGGAACAGAAAAGGCAGACTGACTGAAATATATGGCTGAGGGGAACAGCAGGCAAGACAGGAGAGTTTTGCTGCACCCTGTGGGTGGCCGGGGATCCCAGGATCAGACTAGTGCTACAGAGGCTGCAGATGGCTGCACAGTGCTGTGCTTAACCCCTGGTGCCATCAGAGAGGCCCAATTTGTATCTTTTGACCACCTTCTTTTAATCCTTCCTCCTCTGCCCTGTACTCTGATAACCACAGATCTGACCTCTTCTTCAATGAGTTTGTTTTGTATTTCCTTTTTCACTTAGCATATTGCCTTCAAAGACCATCCATATGTTGAAACTGGAGCGATGTCCTCATTAATAATAGCTATATAAAATTTCACTGTATATATTTACTACAACTCCTTTGTTCATTCGTTAATCATTTGGACATTTAGATTGTTACTAAGTAGTGTCTATTGTAAATAATATTTCATGAATAGTTTCAAAGTAGAGATCTTCCACCTCCTTATATTTATTTTTAATATTTTTTGATGTTTTTGTAAATAGGATTGATTTCTTTATGTCTTTTTTTCAAAAAATTTGTTGACACTAACAATCTACTGCATGAAACAGGACATTTTTAAAGATGATTTACTGGAATAGTTGTCTGCCTTCCTAATTATTATTTTTAATGGCATGGGATCTATAAATATAACCATAATCAATTTATAACAAAATATGATAACGAAAGGATATTCACATGAGAATGTAAAGTATCAAAATAAAATTATGTAAATGTCCATATTCTACTTGTCAAATGTCAAATGATTGATGTTAAGACTATATTAGATCTAGAAACAAGATCTAGGGTAAAGTCGTAAAACCCTGACATTTATTAACATGTGATAAAAGACAGTTAATATTACAGCTATGAGATGGAGATGGCCAATGAGCACTGAATAAAAATGAGAAATATCTCTAAATGATAAGTTTTTTTTAAATATTTATTTATTTATACAAGAACTGGGGTACAGGTCAGAGGCACGGGAGGGTAAAAGAATTCACCAGAGACAGAGCAGGGAGCAGAACAGGCAGATGGATGAGGACACTGCTGAGGGGAGCAGTGGGCGAGGCAGGAGAAGTCTGCTGCACCATGTGGGTGTCTCCAGGGCCGGCTGGGAATCGAACCTGTGGACAGCTTCACAGTGCGGCGCTCAACCCGCTGCGCCACCAGGGATACAGGCCCCTAAATGATCGGTTTTTGATCCTGGAAACTTGCAACCAATTCTTATATAAAGTGATTTGCATAGTTGGGACAGGAATATTAATATTTTATTAATAGGGATTGAAAGAGAAAGTTAGAACCACTATGAAAGCTATCTCTGAGCTCTATCTATTGTCTATCTATCCATTCATCTATTGGATAGGATTCGGCCTCATATAATTATGACTGCAGCTTAAACAATCTCTGCCAGTCTGTTGTCAAGTCTGGTGCTAAAGCTTGAAGTCAACAGGGCAGGCATTTGGAAAGGGAAAGGTATACACATAGAGGGGAAAGCAAGAACAAACTGCAAATACAAGCACAAGCTGTCATACACAAAGAAAAACTAAAAACTTGTGTACGTTCTCTTGTCTCTGACCTTAGTGGTGTGAGAGTCTTCCAGAAAAAGCTGATATCCTTGGTCGTGGCCCAAGAATCAGAAGGTGCTCCATGCAATGGGTGATCAAGCACATCA